GTAGATATAAACAAATCGGAGATGTGTAAGTTCTATTCAGTTGTGTATGTGTAAACTAAAGTCTTTGAAAATGTAATAAGTTTTACGAAACGCGCTCAAGTGTCGCGTCAGACTAGAAATAAAAATGAGTTTTGGAGAATTGATTTTTGAATTACCACCAACAGTGAAAAGAAATGTACGAAAGATCGAGAAAATTCGTGTTAGAATTATTAATCTTACTTTTTCGGTCATATTTAATAATATATATATTAATATATATATAACTTTTTAGACACTCAACCCACCAGGGGACTCGAACACTGGCCAACAAGATGGCAGTTGCACGCTGTATCCACTACACCATACTTCAAAGCCATAAAGAGAGGTAGGAATTCTGGGGTATTTAACCAACCAGAACTCCAATCCTCTCCCAGGCAATGAGAAAGTGTGGGACCCCCGGTGCTCTTTCATCGAGCCCTGTTATATGGGAAAACTCAGTGCCAAATACTTAATGCACAGACTACCCTGTTCCAGTAGCTGAAGTTTATAACTTTTTAGACACTCAACCCACCAGGGAACTCGAACACTGGCCAACAAGGCCAGTGTTCGAGTCCCTTACGTACCCTAGTAGCCAGTACCCGAGTCCCCTGTCGTACCTAGTAGCCAGCTACTAGGCACGACATATATATATATATATGTCGTACCTAGTAGCCAGAACGCACTTCTCAGCCTACTATGCAAGGCCCGGTTTGCCTAATAAGCCAAGTTTTCATGAATTAATTGTTTTTCGACTGCCTAACCTAACCTAACTTTTTCGGCTACCTAACCTATAAAGATAGGTTAGGTAGGGTTGGTTCGGTTCGGTCATATATCTACGTTAATTTTAACTCCAATAAAAAAAAATGACCTCATACATAATGAAATGGGTAGCTTTATCATTTCATAAGAAAAAAATTAGAGAAAATATATTAATTCAGGAAAACTTGGCTTATTAGGCAAATCGGGCCTTGTATAGCAGGCCGAGTACGACGTTCTGGCTACTAGGTACAACATATATATATATATATATATATATATATATATATATATATATATATATATATATATATATATATATATATATATATATATATATATATATATTTTTTTTTTTAAGTAAACAAAAGGGAAGGGAGTACCACCTCTGGCTGGAAGAAGGGGGACCCATAGCCTCGGAGGAAGCCACACATAACGCATTGGAGCGAATGTAGGTCCCCTCCAATACAGTTTCTGTGTGCTTTTCTCCTACCGCCCCCTTCCTTTTTTTTTTTTTTTCTTTATTGTGTATTTAAAGGTTACAAAACATACAAGACAAATGCCTAAAGGTTATGGATCTCTTGAAGCTCCTCCGCTTCTGGACAGGAACCGAGGACGCAGCAAGCATTTCCCCTCTGGATCTCCACACTGAGACGCTGAAACAAAAAACTGGAAGCCCTTTGGTCTCTGGTGACGTCAATGAGCTTGGAACCCAATTCCTTGAGAAATCCCAAGGCACTCTTGCCCCAGGGGCCATGCGTCTCAGACGCTATGGGAACAAAGAGGTATTGACCTTCCAGTAGCCTGTACTTGAGTGATTTAGCTGTTTCCCTGTGGTTGGCCGCCCCACCTGCTTGATCAGCTCCGAAGTGTACATAGGTGTCAGCCAGGGTGGATACACATGTGTAGTCCCACACCAACTGTCTACCCTCCTTCCATGAGTATATGGTGATGCCATCAGGGCGAAGTGCGGAGAAATCCGGGTTTTGGACCCCTAGGATGCGAGGTTCTCTCTCCGCTGGGCACCTAGCTGAGACGAGGCTTCTCTTGATGATGTCATTGACCTCGTTGTGTCTTGCATGCCAGCCCTCTGTGCTTCCGCAATGCAACCCATGCAGTCCGTATTGGTCTGCTTCCACCCTGTTGCAAATAAACTTGTATTCAGTGTGAATTGGGGCACCAAGGCGAAGGGCCACTGCTACACGAAGGGATTCTGGATCTAGGCGCGTGCCCATTGCTGACATGGGTACTGCCAGGAGGAAGTCTCCTGCATGGGGGGCATGCACAGCTCTGAGGCGGGCTTTCTCCTTGTCTGATGTTGCGACGCTGAGCATGGCATCAGCTACTTTTTCCACTAGAGGGTGGTCCCAGCCGGACTGTTTGTGTTGTTTTGTTGGCTCTATAATGGTTGCTGGGGCTGCAAGAACATCCCACTGATTTGAACATTCAGGCTGATTATATATATATATATATATATATATATATATATATATATATATATATATATATATATATATATATATATATATATATATATATGAGATGCGAACTTCTTCATATAGTTATATATATATATTTTTTTTCATATAAGTTTACAAATTTCATATAAGTTCATACAAATTCGTATACAAATTTCTTCATATAAGTTTATATATATATATATAATATTATATATATATATATATATATAATATATACATACATATAAGTATATATATACAAATTTCTTCATATAAGTTACATATATATATATATATATATATATATATATATATATATATATATATATATATATATATATATATATATATATATATATATATATATAATATATATATAAAATTAGCGAATAACACTCCTAAGGGGGAGCCCATTGCTACTCCGTCTATTTGTAGATACATGTCCCCATTCGGACTGATGACAGGAGCTTCCTTTGTACATGCCTCGAGAAGGCTCTTCAAGTGTGGCTCGGGTATGTCTAATTTGGGGGTGCTCTCGTCTCTGTATACTCTGTCCAGTATCATTCCTATGGTTGTGTCGACTGGGACGTTGGGAAATAGGGATTCAACGTCCAGGGAAGCAATGATTCCATCGGGCTGTGTAGTTTTGATTAATTCTAGGAAATCTGCTGATGATTGTAGCCTATAGTTGCTCTGAGTGTATGGAGTTAGGAGTTCATTAAGTCTTTTTGTCAGGTGATACGTTGGAGTTGGTATTTGGCTGATTATTGGGCGTAGTGGGTTACCTGGTTTGTATGTCTTAACATTGCCATAAGCATATCCTAAGCCATAGTCGCCTTGGAGTTCAGTGAAATGAACACTACATTTCTTTGCGTTGATTGCAGTAATAGTTTTGTTCACTTTTCGTTTGAGGTCTTCCACAGGGTTCCTCGTGATTCGTTGAAATTTAGTATCATCACTAAAGATATCGCTAATTTTGTTCATGTATTCATGGGTTGGAATCAACACATATGCTGCTGTCTTGTCGGCTTTTCTTGTTGTTACATCTTCCAGCTTTTTAAGTTGTTTTGCTGCTTCTTTGAGTCGTGGGGTTAAGATTGTTGATGAGTATGTTCCTCGTTTTTTCCCGGCTTCTGTTAGTAGTTCAGCCTGAAGTGTGTCAGTAGTGATGACTTTTTTGTTGTCTTCTAGCTTATGGATGTCGTCCAGAAGCATTTCGATTTCCAGGCGTTTTTTATGCATCTTTGGTTTAGATATGAATTGACAATTTAGACCAAGATTTAAGAGGTCTCGTTGGTCCTGGGTAAGATCATAAGAAGTCAGGTTAATGTAGCCATCTTTATGGCGAGGGATCTTTAACTGTCCACCGTTTAGGGCTGTTAACTTACGGAGTGTCTTCGTTTCTTCGTTTTATGTTGTTGTTTCAGGTTAAATAGTTTACTGTTGATGGTTTGCTTGAGTTGGTTGGGAATGTCATACTGGGTCCATTTGTTAAACTGATGTTCAGCTTGCTCTGTAAGGGTTTGGAGGGCTTCCTTCTTCGTGTTTAGTTTAGTTTAGTTGATCTCATACGACATCTCTCTCAACTTATATAGCCTAGGCTACCATTAGCTTTTGTCCGGTCGTGATGGTCGAGGGATAAGGTGTCCTGTACACACCAGATGCATTGTGCTCCTGGCAGTACGAGTTCGACTCACTTCTGGGGTGTGAGTTTTCTGTTGCATATAGTCCTGGGGACCATTCAGGCTTGTTCGCATTTGTGTTCCTCACGTGTGTCCCAAAGAATGAGGTGATTTGATAAAATACTATGCCCAAGATTACCATCAGAGTGCCGGCGGGCTGATGGGCAAATAGCCTAGGCTACCATCAGCTTTTGTCCGGTCGTGATGGTCGAGTGGATAAGGTGTCCTGTACACACCAGTTGCATTGTGCTCCTGGCAGTATGGGTTCAAGTCACTTCTGGAGTGTGAGTTTTCAGTTGCATATAGTCCTGGGGACCACTCAGGCTTGTTTGCATATATATATATATATATATATATATATATATATATATATATATATATATATATATATATATATATATATATATATATATATATATACTGACTTGTTTGAAGTATACAACTTTTAGACACCCACACCCACCAGGGGACTTGAACCCTGGCCATCAAGATGGCAAGTACGCACTTAAATCCACTACACCATACTCAGAGCCCTAAAAAGAGGTGGGAGTTCCTGGATATTTAACCCCCAGTAACACCCCCCCCCCTTCCAGGCTAGAGACAGTGAGTGATCACTTAGGTTTTTTGTGAAGCCGTTATATGGGAGAACACGGTGTCCATGCCTAATGCACTGACTTGCTTAAACCACAAGTTTGAAGTATACAACTTTTAGACACACTCACCCACCAGGAGACTTGAACCCTGGCCATCAAGATGGTGGGTATGTACTTAAATCCACTACACCATACTCAGAGCCCTAGAAAGAAGTAGGAGTTCCAGGCTATTAAACCCCCTAGATAACCCCCCCTTCCCCTCCCTTCCAGGCTAGAGACAGTGAGGGATCACTTACATTTTTTGTCAAGCCCTATTATATGGGAGAACACGGTGTCCATGCTTAATGCACTGACTTGCTTAAACCACAAGTTTGAAGTATACATCTTTTAACCATCTTTTCAAATATAATAAATGAAATCATAAACTATTACAAAATTCAATTTACACTCTAATTAAAGTGGGAATTATAGTAATTTAAATCTACAACATATATTTTTAAAATTCAGTATATTTCTTCATATAACCATATTTGTGTTGCATATTATTAAATATCAGTATCAGTAACCTCGTCCAGTAATCTCTCCATCGCTCCATCTTCTCCTTTGATCTAAAAGAAAGCAATAAATACATATTTTGATTGTTAAAAGTACACGTAAGAACAATACATCAATGCTTTTCTATGTTTAATATCTTTCTCCAAGTCATGGGCAATACAACTACTGCTATTTGCCAATTCAAACAAATTTATTCAGCTGGTTTTCTATCCTAATCTGCCTTGCCTGCATCTTGAATTCTTTCTTCATAAATCTATTATCACAAGTTCAAGTAATCAGAAAGTGAGAATATAATAGCAATCAAATAACATTTTAGTAAGAATTAATTTCAATTTGTTTAAATTTGCAATACCTGCAACAATAAAGTAAAACTACTGTGGTACTTAAATGTAGGTCAAAATTAAAAAAAAATACTCTAATAGTGTTTAGTAATAAGTGAAAAGATTCCCAATGGGGAAAAATGCATGCATTTGTAAAGTTTAAGAGTAATCATCTTTGATTAAATACAAGAAGCAGCTATATACATACATTTAGTAAAATTATTATTCCAATTATAAATAAAAATAGGTTTGGCACACTAACCTGCACATAGTAGGCACGGAACACAAGCAGCAAGTAAGTTTCAAAGAACATCACCAGACCAACAACAACAGCTATTTTGACAGCAGCTTTTCCAGTGCTAATTGTGGCAAGTGAAATAATTATCACTGTGCCTGTCAGCATCGAAAGTATTAACTCGATGAAAATCATAGCCATTAGAGGAATCATCAGCTTTATCTTGTTCTGCAAATTAGAAAAAAAGCTTTTACATCTGCAATGTAAACAATTGTAACAATAGTTACTGCTGTAAAACCATTTAATGTTTACTAATCAAAGAAGAGAACTAAGGATTCTGTCAATGGAAATATTCTGTAAAAGTAAATACCAGTATTTTAAAGGTGTGACAAGGTTCTCACATACAGTTCAAGGGGCATCTGCTCGTAATGGGCAGTCTGACTTACTCTAATATAAAAAAAGTTATCGGAATGACATTAAGTATGTAATGTATGATTTTAATTATGTGCAGGTTTTATACATAATTAAACATAATTATACATAATAATAATTTCTATAGCTTTAATATAGAAAACAAATTACATCAATTAAGTGCCAACAGTAAAAGGGTGCTTAGATTAATAAAAGATTTTAACATCTTACACTTCAGATATTAACTTTAACCACAGCCAAGGAAAGAAACCTCAAATGGTGTCTCTGGAATGTAAATTAAAAGTAGCTGGTCAATGTTTAGAACACTGGAAAGTCTGACTTTTTGTGCATAATTACCTAAGTGGAATTACCTAATTGTAGTTACAGGATGAGAGCTATGCTCGTGGTGTCCCGTCTTCCCAGCAACCTATCAAATAACGCTTTGAAACTACTGACGGTTTTGGCCTCCACCACCTTCTAATTTAACTTGTTCCAACCGTCTACCACTCTGTTTGCAAAAGAAAACTTTCTAATATTTTTTCAGTACATTTGTTTCCTTGGCTTGAATATGTGTTCTCTTTGTTAGGCTTAATGCATATCGTAGGATTAAAAGGATTGTATATACATATTAAAAGAATTAAAGGATTGTAGATGTAAAACTTATGTAATAACCACTGAGGAACACCTCAATTCTTTCCTGGAAAACTGTGGGATAACAGCTGAATAACCAGAACATAAATCATCGTCTCATCTAACTACCAAAATGTATTATAGCTCTGCCTTTCCTTTCAAAAGTTTTTCTTTTTAAAATTGTCATCTTTGTTATTGTCTTTTTGTTTCTTTTTTACTCTATTTTATATATGCTCCATACTCCCTTGTTCCATTGTGCACTGGCTTTGCCCGTGTCCTCTAGTATAAACTTTATCATTCAGTGTACCCGAGTGTATCTGTAATTAATCTACCTCATTTTTGTTTCTGTGTAACTTTAGTAATTAACTATAGTGTAATTATATTATTAAAGTAAGCTATTGTCTCTTGTTTTATAGAATTATTAATTGTTATTTGCCATCACTGTCTCATTTCAGTGATCTTCATTTCATATTATTTGTTTCTGTTATATATATATATTTGCATATTTTCTCTTTTTTCTCTCTGTTTACCATAATTATTATATATTTTGAGCGAATTTAGTATTTTACTGCTCTGTACTTACTTTCTTATTGTACCTTGACTCCATTGCATCCACATGCAAGCTGATATTGATCCTGAACAAAATCTACTATCTCGAATATACAATAACCAACACTGATCATCACCACTGCAGGTATTACACAGCACATCAGGCTAAAAACAATCTCCGAAATAACACTTGCTTATCAGTTTTCAACCAAAATGTCAGATCACTTGGTAAACATTTTGATGATATAAATGCTATACTCTCAGCGCTAGGTACTAAACTATCGTTCATTATTTTAACAGAAACCTGGCTAAGTAAAGACCATACCCAACTTTTCAACTTAGCTGATTATAGAGTCATTCACAACTGTAGGGCTAACAAAAAAAGGAGGTGGCACAGCTATATACTACCAAGATACCTTCATCTGCAACAGTGTCATTAGTGATAGAGATGACTACTGTGAATATACTTTTGTTCAATTTTAAATTAAATCCCTTAAATCCTCCTTGATTATTGGAGCCATTTATAGATTTCCCAATACTAACATAGCTGCATTCTCAGATAACTTAAGGAATCTTATCATAAACAACAATGTCAACAAAAATCACATCGTTCTGGGAGGTGACTTAATATTGACCTAGAGCAACAAAATAGCCCTCAAGTCGACTATTTCCTTAACAGCATGAATTCCTGTATGCTCATTTCCGCATCAGAAATAATCACTGACAGAACAACTGACCCCTATCCTACCCTCCTTGTAGCGGACATGGGCATAACACCACCAGCTAACAAGAAAATTACCTTTAGGTTACACAGTGAAGCAGCAATAGGCAATCTCACAATGCCCTCCACAATATAAACTGGGAATCTGAATTTATTTATTTATTTATTTATTTATTTATTTATTTATTTATTTATATACAAGAAGGTACATTGGGTTTGTGAGAATACATAGCATGGTAATTTACAATCTTGTAAAACCACTAGTACGCGCAGCGTTTCGGGCAGGTCCTTAATCTAACAGATAATTTTAAGTAGGTAAATTCTAGCGGAATTAATAAAATGATAACAGATACATCGCAAGAAAGAAAATAAATGAGGTGAGAGAGATTAGTAGGTATATTAAAGCACATTGGTACATTAAAGCTCTGATTGATTGCATTGACAGCTTGATTGGTAATTTAAACGAAGATTAATAGGCACCATACAGCAAATTGAAAGCACATATAAGAAGACAGCAAAGATCACAATGGTAAAGTTGTTTGGATTGGGTACATGGAGATTGGGAGATTGCGTAGCATTAGATACAGTACAATTTTAAAGCAACAAGGTAGAAAACTATGAAGAAGAAATTAGGTACTTTTTAGTTTTGTTTTTGAATGACGCAAAAGTTGGACATCTTTTCAATTCATTAGGGAGTGAGTTCCATAGACTGGGTCCCTTTATTTGCATAGAGTGTTTGCTCAGTGGCTCAGCAATGAGCCACAACAACCTTCCCCTGTCTTCCAGTCCTCCTCACCATTCCCCCCTGCCCCGTCCCCTCGTCCTTCCAACCATTCCTACCCCTCTCCCGTCCCTTTGTCTACCCCACTATCCCCCACTCCACCGTCCCCTTGTCCTCCTAACCATTCCCCACTTCACTGTCCCCCTCGTCCTTCCCAAAATCTCCCACTCCCACATCCCTTCGTCCTCCCCCACTCCCCTGTCCTCTTATCCTCCCCACCATTACTCCCTTCACTGTCCCCTTGTCCTCCCCACCATCCCCGACTCCCGTCCCCCTCATCCTCCCCACCATCCCCGACTCCCGTCCCCCCTCATCCTCCCCACCATTCCCCACTCCCTCGTCTGATGCATTCCTAAATGATCAGCTATTCCCATTAGAAAATTGGGAACATCAAATGATCTGATTTCCCATCACTGAAATATGAGAAAAACAGTTTAAAAAACGAAATGAAAAATAATGAATAAATAAAAAACAAACTCTACTCAAAAACGAACCATATGGTAAACAACACAGCTCAATTCCAACGCAATGCCACACAAAAGAATTAAATTAAAAATAAAATAAATGGAAATCTATGAAAATTCAATTTATCAACGAAATTGGAAACATTAAAATGGAATCATCACATATTTAGTACAGCTTGCATTGCTCTTACGTGCAACAGATGGCTCTGTTTAAAAAAAAAAAGCATGTTTTTACCTATCACAGGTGTGGCATCTATACGTATACTCATGAAATGAACGGTATGGTAAACAACACAGCTCAATTCCAATGCAGTGTCACACAAAATAATTAAATCAAAATTAAAATAAATTGAAATCCATGAAAATTCAATTTATCAATGAAATCGGAAACATTGAGATGGACTCGTAACATATTAGTATAGCGTGTGTTGCAATTATGTGAAACAGATGGCGCTGTTTTTAAAGAAAATAATGTTTCTACCTGTCACAGGTGTGGCATCTATATAGTAGGTATATAAAACACGTGTGTATGTGAATGGAACGTTGTGTCAAAATTTCAAAGCAATTGGTGAAGAACTTTCGGAGATTACAGAGTGTGTTGCTCTTACATCCAATAGATGGCGCTGTTTAAAAATAAAAATGTTTTTCCTGTCACAGGTGAGGCATGTATATAGTAGGTATATAAAAACATGGCTGAGCTACCGTGCAGTGAGGACGTGTCGCCTGCTGCTCTGGTGGTTTGAGTCGGTTCTCACTACGTGAAGAGAGCCATGGGGAAGGCTCAGCGCAAGAGGGAATGGAAGCAGCTTTCGGACGAGGAAGGACGGTGGACCGATGTGCAGCAGGCCCCAAAGAAAACTGCTATCGAGGCTTTACCACTTGCTTCTACCAGCAAGTCAGTGGACGTAATGGACCTAGAGAGGACAGCGTCAGTCATACACCAGCCAGTGTCAGTCAATGCTTCTCTGTCCGCAACGCTGCCGCGGGACGGCAGTATGAGTCAGGAGAGGACACCACCGGTTTCACGCCAGCCAGTGTCAGCCATTGTTCCTCTCTCCACAGCCCAGCCGCAGGACAGCAGTATGGGACAGGGGAGGACACCACCAGTCTCACACCAGACATCGCCAGCCTCTGCACTTCTTCCAAAATTCAAGATCATGCAGACCGACCACTTTCCTACAGCATATGGAGTAGTAACGGCGATGGAAAAAGAACAACCAGAGCTCAAACTTTCCATTACAGTCAACCTGAAGGGAGAAATAATACTGACACCTCAAGACCAACAGACTGCACATTACTTAGAGAAGGTAAGAGTCCTGCAGGGGAAACCTGTGTGCTTGGTAAAGCTGGACCCTTCAGAACGACGCACACGAGTCGTGCTTTTGGGATACCCAATCGACTTTCCCCTGGATCCAGTGCTAGAACACAAGCAAGTCCTGAATGCGGAACGTTGCCACACAAAAGTAGACAAGGCAGCGACGCGTCAGGTTCTGGTGACCGTCATGGGACGTGTGCCAGAATCTTTCGGTCTTGGAAATTGGGGGACATACCGACAGAGGCCATACGTCCCAGAACCCCTACGCTGCTTCAGGTGTCAGAAATACGGCCACCATCAGTCACGCTGCACAGGACAGGAGAGGTGCGGAGTGTGCAGCCTGAGATATCCCACCAA